GTAATGACTACTGGCAGGATCAACCAGGTTGCTATCGTCGTCAATATATCCAACATATACACTCCCTACTCATATTATTCACCTACAGACTGTGACGATTGATTTACAGACCAACGTCACATATTCGTAGTGTGACATATTGAGCAGTTCGTGTATAATCTTGGTAAGCAGACTAAACAACAACATAATCTCGTTTTCCTCCCCCTGTAACGTCGAAAGGGAATCCCTTAATGACAATGCACATCAGGTTGAAAACGACTGACACCGATATTTGACTATACGATCTACATGAGTATGTAAAACGTATGCATCAAATATCATTCTAATGGCACTTTCACCGCCACAAAGCTATATCATGGCTCGCAATACCACTGGACGAAAATTGCGTCGTCTGTCATTAACGTTATCATATATTTGCTAACATTAATTGACACTGACATCCAATTTAATGTCGTTAGGCAACGAACCATGTCCGCCTAGCGCCCAAGATACCCTGTAGTCTATGCTTTACACAGCACATATCACAGAGCACTCGTAGCGCACAATGCTTTGTTCTCCAAACTCTCCGCAGAACACACCAACACAACACCCGCAATTTGCTCTTTATCCAAACTCAGCCTCTGTAGGGATATCAGCAATGCCCAAACCAGACCTACTGTACCCCAGAACACTGATATGCTCCCAACCATCCTTGCAATCAACAGACTTCCCTGTCGCACAGGTGAAGTTTCCACGGTCACAAGGTCAACTGTCCTCAAAACGAAAAGAGACGCGACGCGCCAGACAAGAGACGCTTGACGTCCATCAGAAGGCCTGAACGCTTCACTGCTTCACCCCAAACGTCCTCAGCCGACGCGCCAAACACAACATGCCATCACGCATCACTCTTCTCACACGACAGAACCCCGACTCAAAGGTGACCCCTCACACCAACCATGATGCGAACTACCGTGTGTTCATCTACCGTCAGTAGCCTCCACACTGCTAAGTCCGTTTAGTGGTCGTATGCAGCACAACCCTCCCTCCTTCTTCAAACACAAAGTGATGCCCCTTGATACCTTGTTCCCTACGCCTTTACAACGAACTTACTATGCTTATGTTCGTTCTGAAAGAGCTGGAAGCAACCCACCTAGTCCTATCTTCTCACCCCATCTTGCTCCACTAAATTTGAAAGTCCTGTGTATTGTTGCAGTTGATTGATATCTTGAGGCGTACTGGTCTAGTGGCAGCTGTTGATCTCCGGCGTTTGAATACTAAATGCTTCATGGGAAGCGTCCTTGCAGAGATTCAAGTAAAACGGACAATACGCAGCGCTGCATGGAATAAAGGGACACCACATTGTTTGGTCATCACCAGCCGTGGTGGTGGTGAGCTCGTTCATCTGCGTTTTTACAGCTGCTCTCTTGCTTTCCAAACGTGATCAAGCATAGCCTGAAAATGGGCTTAGTTGTGTCGGCAATAACTCCCCTTGTGGCCCCCTTACCACAGGGGGGTTGCGCATGATCCCACTCATTCGATCCTAGTGAGAGAAGTAGACCTAAAGGAGCCCGGATTTGGTCCTTCTGATTTAACTTATACAAGTGAGCACATGACGGACAAAAACTGCAGACTCATCAAAAAAGGCAACCACTGCTTATCGCGACCTAGTGAATCCGGAATGGGATTGCCGTTTGTTTAGAATCATGTGTTCATCTGCTGGCCCTCTTATGGTGTTAAAAAGCCTCCCCCTACTCATAGTTTGGTTGGGATTGCGTTCGTAAGGTTTTCAAAGAACTCCTCATATTCATATTATGAACGGTATAGTGGTGGAATTGGAAAGAATTACATGGTTGCTCGTGTGTTCGGATGCAGTCATCCGCTAGTTGGTGCTTTTCCCTATTGCCTGCTTCTTAAAAAACGAAAAAACGAATAAACCCTCTTCGGCACATAAAAAGATATAAAAAGAAAGAAAAGCAAAGTACAGGAAATGAACACAGCAGATGTCCTCCGCCCACATCGCTGCTGCAAATGTCAGCAGCAGCGGGCTGCAGCAGCTATCAGCAACAACTGGCTGGGGTAGCTAGCTGCAGCAACTCCCTGCAACAGCTAGCTGCTGCAACACACCGGAGTAGCCGGCCGTTGCAGCTTGCAGCCGTAGCTAGGTGCAACAACTCCCCGCAGTAACTGCCTGCTGCAGCTAGCCTCTGCAGAATAAAAACTCAAAAACGAGGACAGCCGCGAGCTGCTGTTAGGCTTCCTCTTTAACGGAAAGAAGGGGGGTAGCCGCCGCCGAAGCAGCTGCAGGTGGGGGGGTGGATGTTCTCGAAGGGGCGGGGACACCTACGAATGCTGGTGGGGGCCCCGCCGAAGCACAGAATAAGGGACCGTTATGGGGTCTCGAAACGTCCACACAGCGCGTGTCGCTGTCAGACGCACAAGCAGTAGCAGTAGGAGCAGCAGGAGCCTGGGTTGAATCGGACGTTTGTGCTGAGTTCTTGGTAAGCCTTGCCCTTCGCCCCTTTGCTGCTTCCTTGTTTCTGTCTTCTGTTGCTGCAGCGTTGCTGCTGGGGGTCCCCCCTCCTCTGGCGCGTTTGCTGCGGGGGCCTCCTCCTCGTTTCCTGATAGGCGACGGGGTTGGCGCTGGGGTGTTTGCAGTAACAGAAGAGGGGAACCTCAAGGGTCCATCTAGCTGCAGAGGGGGACAGAAAAAAACAATAAACAATGCAAAACAGAAGAAAATACAGGTACACGAGGGTTTACGGTTCGCGCCAGGGTTTGGGAATAAAAGAGTAACAATATTAGGGTTTTTATGCGCGTCTGCTGTGAAGAGGATTTAGGGTTTGCAATGCAATTTTTAAAACTAGGGTTTAGGGAATAAAAGCAGAGAACGCTTCATTAACACTTGACAGTGTTAGGGTTTAGGGTTTAGGGTTTAGGGCTTACAGCTTCCATTAAGGAGGCAGCGGGTGTTTCGGGTACAAGTTGATCTGCTCTTTGTCTCCAAATGTTAAAAAACCTCCTTTTGCTTATTGCCCAAAATTCCACCCATTCTTCTTCCATTACCCCCTTTCCCCCCTCCCTCCCGCGTTGCGTACCCTCCCCTTGGGGGCCCCCCTGGGGGCTACCAGGGCGACCACCCCCTTCCGGTCGTTGTGGCCCACTCGGAGAACCCGCTTGTGCCCCACCTTGGCTCCCCTCCCGGGAGGCATTTGAAGGAATGGGCATTTGGGCCCCTCCGTGCTCCTGCGCTGCTCCAGTATTGTTGGAGGCCCTACCATCAGGTTGGGGGCCCCCTTCAGGCTGATGCTGCGTGCCCCCTCCTTCCGGCTGTTGGCTTCCTCGCCTTCCTTCTTGCTGTTGGGGTCCTGCCCCTTCTTGCTGTGGGGAGGTCCCCCCTAAGGAGGCGGGTGTAGGTGTGGCTTGGGGCTTATGGTGTTGGAGCTTTTTATAACTATTAATTTTGCGTTGAAGTCTCTTAATGCATATACAGCCTGTGCATTGGTCTGTATGGGGTGACGAATTAGGGTGTATAGCCTCCTCTACATGCCTAGACAGCTGAAGACCAGAGGAAAGACAAAAGAATTCGCATGCAGGACGAGGGAAATGTAATAAAAAAGCATCAGATATACGAATAAAATCTTCTTCTCCTCTCCCTGAGCTACAAAATACACTTGGCCATAGTAACCCCAACGCTAATAGACGGACAGCAAGAACTCGTAGCTGCATATACACCATAAACACACACACATATAGAAATTATATATACATTATATTATATATATTCGTCTGTTTGTTCCTTTACCTTAGCAAACTGACGAAGGGTTTAGGGTTTGTGATGCGTATGCATTAGGGTTTAGGGTATGCTACGAGCCGACGTTAGGGTTTAGATTGTAGGATTTTTGCTTTCTAGGGTTTAGGGTTTAGGGTTTGCATACGAGCTGGTGTCTAGCATCATCAGGGAGTTGTTCAATACAGAAAAGGGAGAGAATTTCTCTTTGTCCTTTTAGGCTCATTAATGCAATTCCTCCTGCAACAACACCTAATCCAAGGTCCTCAATACGGGGTTGCTGCTGCAGTTCCTGCTGCTGCACCAGCTGCCTCTCTCTTAATTGGCTGCTGCTAGCATTTAGTATTGTATCCAAGGAAGAACAAAAGGGCCCCAAAGGAAAAGAAGAGGAGCGACGCTCGCATAGCAGCAGCAGCACGCCTTCTGTGTTGCTGCTCTCTATACACTCCAATACCTGTATACAACATATACATACACACACCTCCTGCTGCAGCAACTGCTGCTCCTGCAGGAGCAGCAGCAGCACCTGACGCTGCAGCTTCTCTTGCTGCAGCTGCTGTTATATTTACACTTATTTATATCTGTATTTTGTCTTACTCTTCTTAGGGCAGGCATCCCTAATTCCTCATCACTAAGCAGAGGTTTTTCTTCTTCTTTTTCTTCTTTTTCTTCTCCTTCTTCTCCTCTTTTCTTCTTTTCTAACTTTACTCCCAATTCCCTAGCGAGTATCTTTAGCTTCTCCCTCAACATGCATGCAGGCAATAAAGCAGCAGCAACAGCGTCATCCCCGCACAACACACTACTCCTCGCGGGGCCTCCATGGGGCCCCCCAGAGGGGCCCCCTGTGGTTTCCCCTACTAGAGGACCCCCAGAGAGCCCCACATGGGGTGTCGCATAAGGGCTTCTTAAGGGGAGCCGTAAGGGGACCTCTGTGGCACCTCCTTGAACTCCCCCTGAGGTCCACCCTGGGGAACGGGCCCCTGGGGGAGAGTCTGTCGATGGAGAAGGGGCCCCCCTAGGTGTGCCCGTTGGGGTATTGTGAAAGGTAGAAGAAGAACGGGTGAGGGCAGCAAGGAGAGAAGAGTGAATATGAGAAGAAGAAAGAATAAAACTACGGAGGAGGCCCCTCTTAAGGGCCCCGCATTCTCCTTGCAGCGGCAGAGGCAGCAGCAGAGGCAGCAAACCAACTTGACTAAAATATGAATCTGTACGAGCAAATAAATCACGAAAACCAGCGAAAGAATCGCCAAACATGCTACCCTGATACGGCATCGCAAACCCTAAACCCTAAACCCTAAACCCTAGGAGTAGAGAAGGAAAAAAGGCAGAAAAAGTAGGTGCTGCACAGAGATAAAACGGCAGCATAACCAGCAAACAACAAGCCACCAAATACAAGTATGCAAACCCTAAACCCTTAACGCTCGAATTCGAATATGTAAACCCTAAACACTAAGGAGCCCCAAAAGGGCAGATGCAGAGCAACTCCCTTTTCCCTCTCTCCTCTTCATAAAGGGCATCCACTTTGACTCCATTTAACCCTAACGAAAAACCCTTATTACCACAAACCCTAAAAGCAAAACCCTAAACCCTACTCCTCCCGTTGGACTCAAGATGAACGACGGAGGGCAGCCGGGGCCTCCCCCCCTATGGGTATACGTACAAAATAAAGCTCATTTAATCTTATCTACAGGAAAAGCACCTACAAATATAAACCATAAATAAGCCACCGCTAATAAAACCTCTACCACTCATCCTTCGGACCCAAGGGGCCCCGGGTGGGGGCCCCTCGGGTTTAGGGGGCCCCCCTGGGAGGGCCCCCAAGTTCTGGCACTTCCTATACACAACTAAACATGCCTAGTTTTCCACCTAAAATTATTATATTTTTAAGTTAAGTACAACTTATTTAGAATCCTTTGTGGATCTTTTTGTTGGGGTCAGCCCGTCTCAGATATCAGGGGGGGCCCCCGTTTCGTCGGGGCCCCCGTACCCTTGGGGGCCCCAAGACACTTGGGGGGACCCTCGTCCCCTGGGGGGCCCCCAACCCTTCAGGGAAGAAAGGGAGAGGAAGATCTGGCGGCTTCTGATCTGTAGGGCCCAAAGTCCGCTTCTTCTGCTGGGGCGTACCACCAGGTGGGCCCCATCATGGTCCCCCTTCGTGCTGCTGGGTTTTCCTGTTGGCGGGCCCCATGCAAGAGGGTAGACCTGCAGCAGGCAAGGGGTTTGTGCCTGATCCCCTCCTGCATGGATAAGGAACTCCCTCGATCTTCTTCGGCAGCTGGCTGTACACTTTATTGGGGTCCGCAGTTGAGGGGGGCCCCCTCCTACATGGGTCTTGTAGCGTGCATGGTGGACCCTCGCAAAGGGGGAACCCTACGGCTTGGGGGCCCCCTCAAGACCCAGGGGCCCCTGAGGACCCTTACAAGCTACAATCGTAACCGGATAGACCACGATGACCTTACGCCGCTGCAGCAGGCATTGGCGCCCGGTAAATCTTAAACCCTAAACCCTAAACCCTAGTTTGGTGGTTGAGCAGATCCTCTGGTCAGTGATGAGGATGGAAACGATACTTGGCATATCCAAGAACTAGGGTTTAGGGTTTAGATGTGAGGGTTTAGGGTTTAGGGTTTGTGGGTTATCTCAGGCGGGTGGTGGTTTAGATGGAGTTTCCCTGGTTTAGCGTTGTTGTGTTGCGGGGGTTTGGGGTGTCTGTACACCGCAATATACTTCTGGGGTTTGCTGCCACTGCAGCAGCAGCAGCAGCAGGAAAATGGTTATTTACCAGCAGGATTAATACCTGTAAATACACACTAACATAAACAGACAAAAAAAGAGAGTAGCATACACCTAAACCCTAAACCCTAAACCCTAAACCCTACAAACAATTAAAACACAATAAATCTTTCAACATCCACATATCTACATCAGGCATGCCGCTCCCCAATACCTGCCCGCTCTTGGGTTTAGGGTTTAGGGTTTAGGGTTTGGGGTGTATGCGCAGCTGTGGGGCGCGGAGTGTCTAAGTCATTTGGGGCCCTTCTTGCTGCCGGCCATCCTCCAGTGCAAAATCCGCCCTTGCCCTGTATATCAGCTGCAGCGGCAGCAGCAGCAGCAGCAGCAGGAAGAGCAGCAGCAGCAGCAGCAGCAACAGCAGCACCAAGGAAGGGTGCTGCTGCTCCACGAAGAACAGACAGAAGCAATAGCAGGTGAGGATACACCCGAGGACAGAGAAGAAAAAGAAGAAAAATAAAATAAAGAAAAAGACAAGAAAAAGTATATATAAAGACAAAAAAAAGACAGAAAAAGGGAGAAGAAAATTATCTGTTCTTGCTGTGGTTGCTGCTTATCTAGCTGATGCACTGCGCCTGCTGCTGCTGTTGCTGTTGCGTGTTGCTGCTGCAGCACTGGAGGCCCTAACGCGTCTTCGTACTGCGAGGCGCCGCTTCGTAGAGCAGCAAGAAGGAGACAACAGAAGGCCTTCTTCTTCTTCTGCTGCTGTTGCTGCTGCTGCTTCCCCTACTGCTGCACCAGGCAGCAGGCTGCTGCGTCTGCTGCTGTGTGAGGTTGTTCACGACTCCCAAGGCATAACTGCAGCAGCAGCAGCAGCAGCAGCAGCAGGAAAAGAAGCAGGATCAGCATTCCCTCAACCTCAGCAGCAGCGACAGCAGCAGTTGGACGACGATGGGAAGCAGCAGCAACAGCAGCAGCAGCAGCAGCAGCAGCACAATGAAGGGCAGCAGCAGCAGCAGCACGAAGGGTGTCGATACAGCGCAGCACAATGGAATGGTTTGCTGCGCCTTGTTTTCCGCATTCTAGATATTGTCCCTCCAGAAGTCCGCTACACCTTGCTGCTGCTGCTGCTGTTGCTGCTGCTGCTGCTGCTCTTGCTGCTGCTGCTGCTGCTGTTGCTGCTGCTGCTGTTGCTGCTGCTGCTGTTGCTGCTGCTGCTGTTGCTGCTGCTGCTGTTGCTGTTGCTGCTGCTGTCTGTGCAAGCGCTGCTCTTGCTTGTGTTGCTGTGTCCCCCAATGCGGTGCTGCTGTTGCTGCAACAGGCCTGTCTTCCATACATACAGTCATGCTGCTGCCTTTGTGGCTGCTGCTGCTGCCTCTGCTGCTGCTGCCTGTGCTGCTGCTGCCTCTGCTGCTGCTGCTGCTGTTGCTGCAGGGCCGTGAGGTGCCGTACTCTGACTTGGCTTTGCTTGTCTCCTCCAATTCCTCCCTTTGGGGCCGCAGCTGTCTCCTAGAGGAGAGACGCGCGCTGCTGCTGCTGCGTCTGCTGCAGGTAGGGTTTCCTTATGTCTCTTTTTCTTTGCCTTTTTCCTTATTTCCTTATTTCCTTATTTTATTTATTTATTTCCTTATTTTTTATATATTATTATTTATTTTATATATGTATATGTACATGCATGCATTATAATCAACTAATTATAATGCATGCAGCAAAGACAGCAGCAAAATAGCAAAAAATCTTTACTTGCTTTCTGCTGCAGTCCCGTGCCAACTGCCGAGCTATTATATCCAACGAGCTGGCTGCATGCAGAGAGCAGCAGGAGCAGGAGCAGGAGCAGCAGCAGCAGCCAGCAGAAGAGAAGAAGACAGCACCTGTCTTGGAGTATCTGAGGGACCCAACAGCAATATATACAAACAACGGATTTCTATCTAAGCTTGGGGTAGGTGCAGGCTGCTGCTGTTGCTGCTGTTGCTGCTGCTGCTGTTGCTGTAGCTGGTGCATGTAGGGCTGCTGCTGCTGCTACCCCTTAGCAGCTGTAGCAGCATCAGCTGGAGCAGCAGCAACAGCAGCAGCAGCGTGGCTGTATTTGTGTGTTGTATATAGATCCTTCCCTGGCAATTGTATGGCGGAGAAGTTAGCGACCTAAAGAAGAAGGCGCTGCTGCTGCTGCTGCTGTCTGCTGCAGCAGACGAAGCTGCAGGTAATCCATTTGCATGCATGCATGCATGCATGCAAACACTCCCAAGAGATATCCATCCCTCTGTTTCCCCCTCTTCTTGGGGCTTTTTCTCTGCATGCATTTTGTAGTTATTTTCTGTGGTGTCTCCGCCTGCTCAGATATAAAAGCATTCGTTGCGTCTCCTGTGGGGCTTCCTACTGAGGGGCCCCCCTCTCAGGGGCCCCCCGCTGTGGGGCCCCCCTCTGTGGGGCCCCGTTTTGGCCCTCCCTTACAGGTGAAGGAGAGGCTCCAACGGGGTGTCTCTGCAGCAGGTCTTGTCTTGGCTTCTGTTGCATGCAGCATGATGTGGCGTTGCGGGCCAACGGAGGCTTCTGCTGCTCTTCTTCCTCAAGTTCGCAAACCCTAAACCCTAAACCCTAGCAATTCCCTACCCGATAGCAACACAAACGGGCATATCAACACACAACCAGCGAGAGATGTAGGAGTAAAGGGGAATTAGATTTATACCACAGTTAAGCTCTTGGGGTTTGCGGCTGAGGGTTTAGGGTTTAGGGTTTAGGGTTTGTGCAGGCGGGGCTGGCAGTGTTGAAGGGTTTACGAGGCCTCTGCATACTAGAGATGGTTTATTGCGGAGAGGAAACCCTAATCAATACATCGCAGTACTTTGATAACAAAACCTTTAGGGTACTGACAAACTCTAGGGTTTAGGGTTTAGGGTTTAGGGTTTAGGGGTTTGCTCTTGTGTTCCATAAGGGGGATTATTTTTGTATTTTGTTTGTTTGTGAGTTGGTTAGCTCCTTGTTTCCTTGTCTCCTTTTTTAGTTTATTGTTATTTATTATTATTGTTGCTTGTCTCCTTTATTGTTAATTCTTTTTTTTCTCCCCTTCCTTTTTTTTTGTTAATATATTGTGTGTGCAGTCTGTAGGCAGTGTTGCTATGTTGCTGCTAAACAGCTGCACTCTCGCCTTCATCATGAAGACCCACAAATACGGTTAGCCATAGAACGCATGCAAGCCTATGCATGCATGCATGCATGCATGCATGCAAAGTTGGGGCTTTAGGTGCATGCAAGGCTGCATGCAATGCCTGGAAGCGGCTATCCCTATATTTTCTTACCTTCTGTGTCCTGCATGCGGCAGTAGTGATAACTTATATTTAATATGGATATGCTTGTTTTGCTGCTGCTGCTGCTGCTGCTCTTGCTGCGCTGCAGCTCTTCTGCCTTTCTTCTTGTTGCGCCTGCGGAGTGCTGTGGGAACGAGTTTCGACTCCTGAGGCCCTTGAGGGGCCCCAATAAGGGGCCCCCCAGCTTCATCAAGGGGGGCCC